AAGAAAAAGAAAAAGAAAAGAAGTCATCCTTATCCAAAATCTTTCCCTCTTTAAGTCCCTCAACTTTTGAAATATTCACATTAGGCCCCAAAACAATACTTCCCTCACAAGTTAGTCCTTAATTTAATGCTAAAATTCCCGAAAATTTGGTTCCATATCGAATCTTGAAGCACGTAGATTCAATTCTCTATTAAAACATTCAACTCTCAAGTTGAAATGAAGCAAAAGGCCTAAACAATAGCAGAGTCAACTCTTGAAATGCATATTCAACTCTTGGGCCTTGAAGATTTGATTTAAGAAATAGAATGTTCCAAGACTCGTGAAAGCGTAAGGCAAATTTGAGTCTTAACTTGAAGATTTGGCTCTTTTGGAAAGATATTCAAATCTTAGTTCCTATATTCAATTATTAGACTAGATAAGGAACTTTAAACCAAGTTCTAGAATTTCTTGTTTTTGAGTCTCAGGTTGAAGAGTTGAATCTAGACTTTAAAAATTTGACTCTTGGGAGCTATATATTCGAATCTTGACTATATAGTAATAGTTAGTTTTTCGAATCTAATGAGTTTGTAGAGCATTTAATGCAACCTAACATTCCCAAATGACTATTTTTGACCTAAGGAAGATAAACATGGTTGGTGGACACACTTATGAGCTTCTTAGACACTTCATTGAAGATTTCCAACAACCTACTTGAGCTTTCTCTTGCAAAAATTCAATTCTTTGTACTTTGACATACATATTTGATCATTTAAGTGATCTTGTCTTATAATTCTATAATCTTATTTTGTGAGTGACTTCTTGGGGGTGTGATCTACTTCTTCAATGCTGATTTTGTAGTGAAGTTTGTTGGGTTAGATTGAAAAGGGGTGAGATTGAGTGAACTCCATTTTCTTTTAGAAGAATTGGGTAGCTCCTTTAAGCTACTTTTAAGCACTAATGGAGAGTGTGGAGGAATTCTATGGTGAATGAAGTCAAGGTAGAGGATTAGGTATCAAATTTTTGAACTGAACTTTCATAAAATCTTCGTGCAAGCTTTTATTTCCTTCTCTCTTTGATTTTCAATGGGGTTGCAAAAGGAAGAAAAATTTTTAACTCCAATTCACCCCTCTTAGAGTGCATGGAGCCACAGAGTTCCATCTTTGTTCTCTTTTAAAAATGAACAGTGCAAGCAAACTTCCATTGTACATGCTTTAAGTCTTCAACCCTAATAAAATATTAATGACATATCTTGTTAGGGAGAAAATAATAGTATGCATGAGTTGTAAAGTTCTATTTCAATCCCATTCAAAGAAAAAGAGAAATTATGCCATATAGTAGAGCCTTGGTAATATTAATTTATTCCTAATTGTAGGGGTGTTTGTGGTTTGGATGGATTAGTTTTTAACCATTATTCTACTTAACCCAAGTTAATCGAATTGAAGATATGTCAAACCAATCCAATCCATTTCATATATAACAACCAAACGAATCCAAGTATTATTGGATTGGATTGGCTTGAATTGAACTGGATTGAGCAGTTTTGTCCAAAAAAAAAAATCATTTTTAGGGTTTTGAATATATTTATCTTTTCTAAATTTCAATCATTCTAGTTAAATATGGACAGCCAAACTAATCCAACTTATGGTTGATTGTGCACCTATATAACCAATAGTGACGTACTTATAACATTGTCATACAACTTGATCAACTTATGCAAACTTAAAGCAATTATATATCTTGGAGGAATCACCACTAGAAAACAATATTTAACCAATAGAAATATAATTAACAACCAAAAAGCTATCAGTTATGCTCATATAATCGATAGAAATTTTGTTAATTATGATAATGAGCTGATTATATAAATTTTTTCATCATACAATCGACAGAATTTCTATCATTTATATAAGTATAATTGACAATTTTTTTGCTGTCAATTATAAATATTAATCACATAAGTATATAATTAAGAGAATGTTTTTTGATGATTATATTATATTACTTTAAAAATAGGAGGTTCCAAGATTATATTTGCTTACTCAATCAGCAATATTAATCTATAGGCTTTGCGCCAACCCAAACTAGTGGTCCTTTTTCTACATGGTCTAAATTTGACTCATTTGACCACATATTACCCCATAGTTAGGGATATTGATATTTGATGTTTTTAGTATCTATGTTCATGTCCACGTTTCTTTTCAACATGCATTTGTAAATACTTTAATATATATTTTGTGTATATATAATGAATAAACTAACTATAAATGTGTAGTGTTAGAATTAATAATTTAATTAAAATACATGTAATATTAACTAAAAATAATCTTACATTTAATAGTGTTAAATTTTTACTACCAAATTTGTGATTTACAAAATATATAATATGTTTATAGAGGCTACTAGTGAAAAGTTAAATATTAACATATATATCTACAAAGGTTTGATACAACTGATAGCCACTATTGGTTGTCGATTATGTAACTATAATCAATAGAAAGTTTGTTGATTATACCTACATAACCAACAGCTAATAGTGTTTGTCAATTATACATGTATCCCACATTGGCTGTCTAAAAAAATTAAATTTCATGGTGTAACAAATTCAAAAGATAACCAATAGATACTTTTTATTATAATTGACATAAACGTTATCAATTATACTTTCTTTATATATATGGAAGCAGAAACGGAACTAGCAAACATCTTCTCATCTCATCTTCCCCTAAATTTCCTATCCTCCTTCCCTATGTTGTAGATGTGCGTGCCCCATTTTTCTCTTCTACCTTACTTCATCTTCTCTCTTTCCTTCTACCTCTCTAAATCTTTCATTATCTTTTTTTTTTTTTTTTTAACTTCCTTCATCTCCCCTCCTTTCTAAACTCTACCATTTTAATTTTTGGTCTTTTGCCTTTCTAGGTACCTCTCTTCATCTTCTTTCATTGTTTTTACCTTGCTTCACCTTTTCCCTTTAATTCCTTCCACCTTTCTAAGTCTTGGTTTTTTTATTTATTTATTTTTGTTTCTATATTATCCAATTATTTTTATTTGATCGAAGAACATTTTTTTTTTCTTTTGTTAGTTATTAAGGTTGAAATCATATTATGAGATAAATTCTAATACTATTTTATTTATGTTTTCAATTTTTTTATTTCTATAAAATCTTTAAAAAAAAATTATAACTATACTAACAATATGTATCTTTATTATTAATTTTTTTTTGTAGCTTTTTATATTCAAACTATCTCATTGTAGGTAAATTATTTGTAACTTTTCTTCATTTTTTCATTATTCTCATAATATATGTATAATATTCTAGTTTTTCAATCAGTTTTTATAGATTTATCTATATATATACATATATATAATTGCAGTGCACGATTGTCTTACATATATTTTGGTTAATATTTATAATTTAATTAATAACTATAGAATTATTTTTTTGGAATTTTTTTAAAAAATTTGATACCAACATAATCGATAGTCATGTCTATCGATTATACTATATTAAATTATTAAATTTAGTTGTTGAGCACTGTGTTTAATCAACAAAATTTTTGTTAGTTAAAGCAATTATAATCGACAAAAAACATTTCCATCAATTATGCTTGTTTTCAACACATATTTATTCGATATTTTTTTGTTGTTGATTATATTTATTGGTTATAAGTATAATTGATAATTTTTTAATATAACTGACAAATTTTTTGTCGATTAAAAGCTATACTCTACTCATGAATCTAAGAACAATATGAACAACAATTGACTATATTTAAAAGATCAAACCCAGATAAGAGCATATTGTCATTCAATCACTTCACTACAAATTCAAAATCCTTAACAAAACAATTCAAGAAACATAAACAAAAAGCAAAATCACACCAAGAAATATGTATGTCTAACAAAAAAAAAGAAAAGAAAAGAAAATAGTCAAATCTATGATTTCTAATCTATTAAGTTGAAATTAATCAAAAGATAAAAGCAATAAAACATTACTAACTAGAGAACATAGGCAAACAACAATTGAAATAGCTTTCATCAAAAAAAGAAAAAAAAAAAAGGAATTGAAATACCTACCTCTAAATGATTTATACAACAATTATAGAACCGAATGGGACTATGATTGGTACAAAGTTTAGGGCAACCTTAAGATGAAAGTGAAATCTAATAAATTTAAAGGTCGAAGTATATGTAATACAATTTCAACCTTTTAGGTTATGATGAATAATAAATGCTCAAAGGTTAAGAATGTAAAAAACGAGAAAGAATCTATATATATATATATTAAAGTAGAAACTATTTAAGGTAAATATGTCACGTGGCACTTTTACAAGCATTTCTTATTATACTCTTTTGTTGTCACGTGTTAATACTTTCCTTATTTGATAAATTTATCATTTTACTTTAGTTTTTTTCTCCCCTTATTAATTAATTTCAACCTAACATTTTTTACCATCCTTCATTAAATTTGATTTCAGCCTAGCATGCACTCTTCTTTTTCGTTTTTATTCCCCCCCTCCAACTAACTAATCAAACTTTAGTTACAATTTTTTATTTAAAAGATATATTTGCTCATTTGTGATGATTTTAATTTTTAAAAAAATTCTACTATGGTATGCCTATCAGATTTTTTTTTTTATTTAATGAAAATTTAATTTTTATAAGTACATCAAGAATAGACTTCCATCTCTTAGCTTCCTCCATGATGTATAATGGAGACTACTAGGGTTTGAGAGAGGGATGCGGCAACCAAGGCAGATAGTGGCTTCCAGGGGCAGCAAGGGTATTGATGGCGGCTTCCAGGTTTCAGCAATCAGTTATCGAGGCAGGTTTGGACATTTTTCTTTTATAATTTTCCAGAGATGTTGACAGAAAAGAACCTTTGGTATCGGTTTCAAAGGCGTGGTAAGGTAGTGGATGTTTTT